ATGGTGAGTGTACTTAAAGCATTTATGCACACGCACGCTAGCACCAGTCCAGCCCCAATGTGATAATAAGATTAATGCACTGTAAGTGGATTTGCTCTGAAGAGCCCGGGTTTGCCTTAAGATGTCTGAGCAGACTGGAGTTAGAACTGCTGGGGTCGGGGTCACGCACACAGCCTTTTTCCTTATGGACACGCATGTATCACGGGGTGGAGCGTGTGGCCAGCGCCGCCCTCCGCCGCGTTCTCTGCACTGTGTCGACCCCCCACAAAACGGCGGCAAACGTCCAGCCCCCAGCCGCATGAACTTTTGCCCACTTCTGTCCATCACGGTAAGACTATCAGACAGATGTCTTCTTCTCCAAGCATCTTACCAGAGCTCCTCCCACTCTTAACCCCTGCTGCCCTCTGGGCTGCTTACAGTGGCCTTCCCCTTTCCCTCACTTCTTTAACCTATCTGTCTGCTGCCTGAAGTTGATCTAATCTCCCTCACTTCTGCTGCCTTTCTCGTGCTTTTACTTAACTATTGGACGTCAAATCCCACACACACACGCACGCAAAAACACGCGAAGCCCCTCCGCTCGCTGTTGTGTCTGGAGTTGTCTTTAACTTGGACCGTAAGGAGATCAGCCGGTTAATCATTCAGCTCAAACCCTCCTTTTGGTTTGGCTGCATCCTGTTGATGTTACATGGCGCGCCCTGTACGCCGGGACACTGTGTGTACATGCCGTACGTTAAACTTCCTAATGCCGTGGCCTTAAGACATTAATACAGTGTCTGTTTTGCTTCAGCCGAACTGTACTCTGCCCTTTTTTACAGCTCCGAGCACGGATGTGCTGCCTGTGTGATTCGAGTGTGAGTGCACAGTGTGTGTGCGTGTTGGTCTGTGAATGATGTGAATAAATCGTTCCTCGCCGCCCTCAGCTCTGTCTCTGCATGCTGCTGTACAGCATCACCCACCAGCAGTCGCTCAGCCCTGTCCCAGCATCACCCGCATATCGACTTTAGCCTCACCCAAAGCAGTGGATTAAATCCCTACTTGGGTTGATTAAAAAAAAATGGCTGGCAAGCTTACACGATTATAGTTTTTTTTTTTCTTTGATTTTCCTCTTATTGTCTGCCTTGTTCTCCGCTAAAGCCCGTTAAACCTGGATTTCCTAGAGGAGTGAGAAGGATGAGGAGATACCGACTAGTTTGTGCAAGTTCTCCGGCTCGTCTCTGTCTGCTGGCCCCAGATCAGCCACGCCATTCCCACACGTCTCCTGTTCATCCTGTTTCTTTTCTCTCCTTCTCTCTTTCCCCTTCTCCTACTTTGCCCTGAAGTGAGTAGTTAATCAGCCTGCTAATTGAGTGACAGTTAGCAAGTGCATTGTTTTAATTGTCCAATCAGAAAGCTTGGAACAGACGCAGTCACAGCTGATTCATCTCTGCCTCTTACTGATAAATCCACAAGCTGCAACTGGAGGATGTGCCAGTAAGATTTAATTCCCCTAAATTCCAGAATGACTTCTAAGAAGCCTGGCTCGGTTTGTTTTGAGTGGTAAATTTGTGCCTCAGTGAAAGAAAACTCAGAAGTAATTGAAACGCCTTAAAGGGGGCACATGCTAGATGAGAGTTCTTCCTCCCGAGTATTGTTTTTTCCCCTCTTTTTTTGAATGTAAAAGATAAGCAGCATCTGTGAGGTTGTTGGAGTTTTGACGTCGCTGACACCTAGTTTCTTTTTATTAAATTTTGAATAAGGGTTGAAAAAAGATTTAAGATGACCAGGATAAGACTAATCCAAGGGGCCGACTCCTCCCCACATCCACTTGGCTTTAAAGAGTTTTGTGACCTTTTCAACCTTTTAAACTGTGATATTACATTTAAGTTGCTCTTATAAATGCACATGTGCTTCGTAGTTATTCATTTGAGACCCAAGTTCTAACAAAAGACTTACAAAGATCAAGACATATGTGAACTAATAAAGACTTCAAATGTTTCAGGGTTTTTAAGAACTTTTATAGTTTTAATCTTATTCACCAAAGTCTTCGGCTCCTTGGAAGCCTCCAGATGACCCACATTATGTCTTTTTACTGATTTCCTGTTGTTCCAACAAGGAACGAGAGGCTGGTATTGTCTTAAGCACTGCATAGTGTCGTATTTACTAATTGGCCTAAAGGGAAAAGTGAAGTTGTGCCGAAAACTAAATGAAACTGACGGCAGGAGTTTGAGAGAGATGGTGTGGGAAGGAGACCGGCTGTTCTGTTTTTCTCCAGCAGTCCAAACTAGAGACATGTGGCTCCCCAGACAAGCTGTCCAGAGTGGGAGAGCTCGCTGGACTCATTACAGGCAGGGCCAAGACGGGATTGCTCGACGGAACACCATTGGATCATAGGGAGAGTTGGAACGGCCCGAGCAGAATTGTTTTAGTCCGTGTGTGCACGTGTGCGCGCATGACTGTATGTTTGGAACGGCGTGTGTGGACAACTGTCCATCTCTCTCCGTCTGTGCCACCCCTGGCTGCCCCCTCCCCCGCCCCCCAGTGGACACAGGCACACACAAACACACACACACACTCACACACACACTGTACAGGCCTGGCCAGAAGGATCGCTTAAATGTTTTCAGTTGTACTGGACAGCTGAGGGATGGAGTGGCCAACCCCAGGCTTTCATTGGTTGGACACTTCATCTAGAAAACTGACTCATAGAAATGACTGGACTTGGACCAGCAAACCAGTCATCGTGGCCAGTTTCTAATAGTTTTATCAGTTCAACTTTTTCCTCCCCCTCACCCTCTTTGACAGTCGGCCCATCCCTCTCTTCAGGCCAGTTTGAAAGCAGCAGAACTTTCTTCCTCTTTTCCAGATGATCGCTTTTACACTTAGCTTTTCCTTTTAGCTGTGTGATTTTGGAAGCTCATGGAATGTAACTTTTGTGTCACCTTCACCCACCGGAGCTAAACAGGTCTTGTCCGGACAAAGCTTTGCTCCTGATTTTACATTACTGGACAATATTTTACACATCATGAAGTCGTGTTTGTAACCTGGAAGACTTGCGGGGAGTGAGGCAGGAAGAGGTCGTTCCTTCTCCGTTCAAACGAACAGAAAGTAAAAGCATCACGCCGAACCACTCACCCTATTTTCCATTCAGTATGTGGGTTTGAACCAGATTAACTGCGGCTGTTTGGCCCCAATCGGTGAGACCGTGTTGGAATCGCCTTCCCCTTCGTCTCCGTTTTGTCCTGCTGCTGTGTGTAGTTTTTCTTTCCTGTAAGGATTTTTTCCTCTCCTCCTTATGCCTCACTTCACCCCTCCCGTTCAGCCCCCCCCCCCCCCCTCACCCCCCCCTCTTTATAATTAGCAAATGATCCAGAAAAAATGCTTTTTTTCTGAAAGAACAGGAGAAGGAAATGGCAAAGCAGGACAGAGTGGGTGGATTTGTGAAAAGGAGAAAAATAGAGACTGGTGGAGGAGAGGAGAGGTGTGATTTTTGGTAGTCCTGATTATGCACTGGCAGCAGCTCGCATTTTCTGCGCGTCTCTCTGTCCCCGCGTGGCGGTTCAGAACAGCCGCAACCTCTCTGCCGAGCACGCACACACACACACACACACAAACACACACACGCGCGCATCTCCGACACCACCACCCGCACCCAGAGGTACCGGCAGGGCCCGCAGTCACATGGTTCCTTCAGCGGAGCAGGTGTTTTTCTGCAATGTGTTAACGAGCACGGCCTGCTGTCATTTCTGCTTTAAATGGATGTCACAAATAGAACGCACACACAGATACACTCTGCCTGTTCTCTTCTCGCAGCAAATTAGCCGAACAAGGTGATCAGAGCTGTTACTGAGGTTTGTGTGGATGCGTGTCTGTGTGTGTGTGTATGTGTGTGTGTGTGTGTGTGTGTTGTATGAGTCCTCGGTAGCATTTAGTAGGTGCTCCATGGTCTGCGTGCATATCAAGAAATTGCTGGTTAGTTAAAAAGTTGAGAGAAAAGAGGGATCATTTGTATTTTTCTCTGTTTTTCTGCGGAGACAAATGAGAAAAAGTAAAATGTTTACAGTGCTCCCGGCTTTCCTTTCATCAGAGCCGCGTGTCTGTGTGTAACGTCAGCTGTGTACTCCGCGGGTTAGTGCGTGTGTGCGCACGGCATCGCCGGCGTATTTGCACTGGCTGCTCCCAAACAGCCATGCGAGGATCCACACATGTGTGCGCTTTAATCCGTGTGTGTATCCATGCTGTTTCCAGTAAGTGTTATCCTCCTCTGTGGCGTGGAAATGTTTGACACTGGCGTAATCCTGCAGCGGGTCATCCTGTAAAGCTGCGCTTCCACTTCTAGTGCAACGCCGGGTCAGCCAGTTGGCTAATACCGTTGTCACCAGCTGCACAGCAGATGTTAATTTTTGTTGCTGACGTCTGAGTTTAATCATATTTCATCTCACTCCGCCTCATCCCGTCTTATCTCTCGTCCATCCCTCCGTTTGCCACTGACCAGTGGTTTGTGTGTCTGTGTGCGAGCGGTGTGTTTGCGTGTGCTTGAGCGTTTGGTGGAGGGGGTCATCACCTCGACACCTGCCCATGTATCAGCCAGATGATGTTTCTGGCATGGACACTTTGAGTGTTGCGCTGGTAAACATGTTTTTGTCATTTTTTACACCATAATCCGATCTGAATCTGGCAAACGCCGTGGAAGCTGCAGAGATGCTGAGTGTGTGTGCGTGTTTGTGTGTCGGCGCCTGTGTAAACACAACAGCGTGTATGTGTGCGATTTCCTTTGAACAGATGACGGTTGAGCGGCTCCTAACTGTCAAGGGAATAAAATCTGTATTTAAACTTGTGGCCATCATTATTATTGCTGTTAATACCATACATTATGCTGATGAGAATCATCATGGTGGCCCTTAAGGCCACTTGTGCCTTCAGCAGCATCCCTCCTAATCTGCTCTCAACTGTTTTTCTCCAAACATCTGACTGGTCACATAATAAATTTGCCCCTTTTGCTTTGCGTCCATGTGTCTTTGCAGGTGAATACATAAAGAACTGGCGACCTCGTTACTTCCTGCTGAAGACAGATGGCTCTTTCATCGGCTACAAAGAGAAACCTCAGGACGCCGACCTGCCCTACCCGCTGAATAACTTCTCCGTAGCAAGTATGTGGCAGCGCTCGTTATGTCCACGTTATGGCCGCCTCTTCTTCGTGTGCTTTGACCAACAATATGCCCGTACCTCCCTGAAGGATGAGCTTGATGCCATAATAACTCTTTAGGTGTCTCCCCACATTTTAATAAATTTTTTAATGCAAACTGTAACCATGAAGAGTGTGAAAGGGAAATCTGCATATACACAGAAGTTCCAGGCCTACCAGGTACCTACTTCTCGTTAGGCTCATAATTACCGACCACACCACTTCACACCTGCCATCATCAACCCATGTGGGGAGCATGTCTCTTTAGAGGAATCACTACAGATTCTGGGTGACTGCCTCTTTAAGAAACATAATACCCCATTTCTAATAACTGAGATGCCAATGGGTGTTGACTGGCTGAGTACGTGTTCATACATTGTGCCACAGTTGTTGCGCCACACAATCACTGCCGGCTCTAATTAACCATTTATCAACAAATTATCCGTCAGCAGCTGATTAACAGGCCCCACAACGTTGTTGGCATGTCTAACTTACCAATTAATGAGCTAACTAAACTACTTTTAGCGTGTCATTACCGCCGTCACACATTGCTGCTCTTGCAGCAAAAGCAGCCTGTAAAACTCTGAACTGAAGTCCAGGTGTTGCAACTTAAGTAGCGAGATGATCGTCGATCAGAAACCGTGTCCAGGCATCTGGCTCCACATGGAGCTCACCAGCTTTCACCTACCGATTTTAAATCGAGGTCTTTCTGCGAGAACGTTGTGACGGAGGGCCACCTAAACCGAGTTGTGATGAGGCGAGTGGGGCTGACGGAAAACCCCACTAAGCTGGCATGAGCTCAAGACATGTCAGACCTTTCTGGACTCAGTTTTGTTGAATAGAAATCTCACTCACGGTATCCAATACTTTAATGAAAAAATGTAATTTAGTCTTTTAATCATCCGTTTTAATCATCTTTTTTCTGAGTACAATCTGAAGTCAATGCTGATGTAGAAAAATTTATAGTCAGCGATGTAATATTACACAGGTTCTCGGGTTTGGAAATCCTTTCAATCGTTGGGAAAAAGTTTAGTCTGTTAGAATTTCAGGCTTTTGGAGAAGTGCTGTGAGGACTGGTGATAAAGTGGGACAAGCGGAGGACTGTGCAGGAGAAAAGGTGCCAAACCAGAAAATATGATGAATGGTGGACTGCAAGCTGATACTTCTGAGAAAATGAGAAAAAATGGTTTATCGAAGGACGGAGGAGGAGAAGGGGAAGATAGGAGTCCGGAAGGGAGGACAAGCGTGGGGAATGAGGGATGGGAGTTGGTCAGAGGAGGCGAAAGAAGAGAAAATTAAAGACGCGGGGAGGAAAGAGGAAGAAGAGAGGGCAGAGATGGAGGGATGATTAGTTTGGCAATGTGGACGGAGAGACTGGAGGGTGAGGCTTTTGTGGATCTGTTGGAAAGGAAGAGAGCATCAGGGAGGAGAGGAGAGGAACATCATCAGTGCTGAACAGACAGGGAGGAGGAGACGAAGACAGGGTTGCAGAAAAGAGGGAAAAGGGAAGAGGAAAAGAGTTTGTGAGAAGGACAAGCCAGGCCATACATCCGGCCCCGGCTGCTTGGCACAGCACCGGCACTGCCACATCTGTTGCCCAAAGCTGGGAGGCCAGGTGGTGTGTGTGCTCGGCACGGCCGTGCGCGCGTGTTTGTTTATTTGCGCGCGTGTTGGTGTGTGTGTGCGAACAACAGAAGTGGTCAGATGGAACAGAGACGGTACAGGCCTGTTCCCTGCAGAGGGACTCATACATACAGGCCTGACACTCGCTCGCACACACCCGTTAAACGGCTACACAGATTTCACAATTGCCTGCTGTGGCAAACAACCCAATTTCAGCGAACATTCAAAGTTCACTTTTACATGCGATTGTCCGTGTGTGCGTGGGTGTGAGTGCTTATTGGCATCAACAATAGCATGACCTTGTTTTCTGGCAGCACAGCAGGCCGTGTTCACGAGTCAGGTAGTAGCTGTTTTGTGTGTGTGTGTGTGTGTGAGAGAGGGAGTTTACATTGAAGCTCTGCTGAGTCGTTTGGCCATTAACCTTCCTGTCTATATTTAGGCTCAGCCATGGCGTGCTGTGCTGTGCCACACTCAAACAGTATGTGGCTGGAGGAAGGGCTAGCAGAGGGTGGAAGGTGAGAGGAAAGGAAATAAGGGCAGGAGAGGAGGTGAGCAGAGAGTGACGGAAGACAAAAGGAGAGCACAGAGGGAGGGGAAACCGGCGACGGGAAATGGAGGGTGATTATATGTAGAACAAGCAGGGCAGATAAGAGCACATAAAGATGGATCATAATGCTGCCTCACTTCAGCTCTTGTCCTCTGTAACATCTGAGACTGCTGAGGGACAATGAAGATGCATTCTCTCCCAGCGCGAGCTCACAGCCCCATCTGGCTATGTGTGCCTACTTTTCTGCGTTTGTGTACTGTATTCTGCATTTGTGTGATAACGGCCTACTGTGCTGCCTGTTTTCGTAGAAAGTATCTCTTCGGATAGTCGCCAGATGCGTGTGCAGCGCAGCACATAATGTCATTTGGCACCAAAAAGCAGTTCTTTTGCGATCGTCTGTTTGCGAAGTCTTAGCCTATTTCTCAAAACGGCAAATCGAAATACAGGTTTGGTGTTTTTCTCTCATTTCGACCTTCTGCCCGCCCGTTTCAGAATGCCAGCTGATGAAAACAGAGAGGCCCAAGCCGAACACCTTCATCATACGCTGCCTGCAGTGGACCACCGTCATCGAGAGGACCTTCCACGTGGACTCACCTGACGAGAGGTCAGTTTCTGTAAGAGGTCACCTTCCAGATTCCAGCGGGGACGAGAGGCAGGCCCCACCCGAGCGAGCGTTTAGGTTAAACTGGAGAGGCCTCTTTTAGAAGTTAGAAAATGGAAATTTGAATGATCACGGCTTGGGATTAAATCCAGAGAAAATATTATTTCTCATTGTACTGGGGAAGGTTTTTCTTCTTCTTTTTTTTATTTGTGAGAGAGACCTTTCAAGTAGTGTTGGCATAAATTCTCCAGCTGCTCAGTTCCTTTCTGAGGAGCTGAGGTGTTTATCTCCTGAAAATGAACAGCTTTGCCCAGAAGACCACAGATGCTTCTGTGCATCCTTTGAGGTTGTGTGTATGTTTTTTGTGTGTGTGTGTGTGGGTTGCAGCTGTCTGTCCAACTTTGACTGCGCAATACAGGGCTTTTGTGACAATTTGGTTACAAAAAAAAACAATCACTGCAAAGCTCCAATATTAGAATGGCTCCATCATTTTCTGTGCATCAGTTTGTGGGGTGGGCAGCACACAGCCCAGCTCCAGATGTGTTTGTGTTCCCGGCCACAACTGGCTGCGTGTGTGTCATACTGTATCCGTTGTACTGTACCAGTAGCTGGCAGGGCTCCAGCTACCACAGCCCCAGCCGTGTGCAGAGTGTGGCACGTGTTGGCATGCTGCCCGACTGTAGGCAGGCCCATTATCTCTCATTAGCAAAAGAAAAAAAGGGAAAAAAGAGGGGGGAACGACTCATTATGCAAAAAACACTCTAACCGAGAAAGAGCATTTGTCTGCTTCCTGACCTTGAGAGAGTTCCGGTGCTTTTCGGGAAGCCGCACACATCACAGGTTCCACAGATGAAATGCTCCACGGCTGCAGAAGGAGTGCAGCTCAAGTTTGCCCTTGTTTTGGAGTGTGTAGGGTATGCTCACAAGTCTTTGCAGAAGAAAGGGACTCAGATCTTTAAAAAAAAAAACACTACTCTGTTTAGGTTCAGATGGATGTTCCTCCAGATCCCTCCAGGAAACATATGGGCTTCTAACATGAAACAAAAGCAGACACAGAAAGTCGTGGAGGCGACCGGTCACCCGGTCTCCTCGGCATGTTCTCTGTGGACGCTTCGCACTTCTCAGTCCATGTTTGCCTCCGCGGAGTCGTCGGCTTTTTAGAATATTTGAGTGTCGCTTTTGGTTTCCGGCGGGACGACGCAGACAGGAGAGCTCCCTTTGAACCCAGCGCAGTCTCAGGGGAACAACGTCTTATTTTTTATGTTTGAAATGGGAAAACATCCCTTTCAAAAAGGCTTCTCTTTGTAAGAAACCATTGTCTCTTCTTCTGGCCCTTCTCTGTGCGTCATTATTGAGTATGACCAGTGTGTCTGAGCCCCCTGATGCATGGCTGGCCTGCCACAGATGACGATCGCATTCACCCACTTTCTCTCAGCAGATGTTGAACAACATCGCTAATGGAAAGTCAATGGGGAGGAACAATGTCAGCAAACAACAATGCATTGTTCCCTCTAATGCACTGTGGTGCGTTTGGGCTCGCTCCCTCACACACACACACACACAGACATGCACAGACGGGTATGCATTAGTTCTGCTCTATGATCATTGCTCATTTTCTTGATTCTCTAGTTGACCGTGTTTCCCCTCTGTTGAACAAATAGGTGTTTATGTTAATTGAAAACACTTTAGTGCCTCTAAAAACCCGGTTGGATGAATGCACCAGTCACAGCGTTCAAGAGTAGGACGGGTTTCATATTGTACACCTGTGCAGCGTGTGTGTTTCGCTGGTTTATTCAGAAATGACTGTATGTCCACATGCAGGAGCGGGTTGTGCTGTTTGAGAGCTAATGTGACACGCAAAGGGCCCAAAAAAAAGACGATTACTATGGTTACGTGATGTAAGATGTCTGTATATCCAGTGACATAAAATGATGATGTTTGTGCTGCTTCAAATCCAGGGATGAGTGGACGGAGGCCATCCAGATGGTGGCTGACAAGCTGCAAAGACAGGAGGAGGAGAGGATCCAGTGCAGCCCCACCTCCAATATCGACAACATGGTCGAGGAAGAGATGGACATCTCCACCACGCACCACAAACGCAAAGTAAGGCTCACGCAGGTACACGAGAACCTTTTCTATTATCCACTAACATTTGATATGAATAGTGAATAGTGAATAGCCAATGAATAGTTCTGTCTTTTTAAGTGTCTGAATTGATTTCCTGGATTATACAGTGCTCACAAATAAGGGGCAATCGCACCTGATTGCTTTTGTCAAAGCAAAGACCACACAGGAGTAAAAGCTATGCTGCATAAATGTGTGAATGAAACTAAACACACAGTAGTTTTTGTTTTTTTCTGCTCAACGGTCCATAACACTCAGCCCTGTAAAGCCTGTGTAATCTCTGTCTATAAAACTCCTTTTGTCAGTTTGCTGGTTACGGTGTCTATGGCTGAACAGCGCTTTACATAACATTAAAAAGTTAAAAGGAGAAACCTTAAAACTCTGTCTTCGTGATTTAAATGGCAAACGGCGGTGAAGAGGTTCCCTTTTCTGAAACAGACTTTCATGGAAATATGTGACAGTATTGTATTCATACTCAGCCTTTGTACATGTATGTGTTATTTTTTTTAAATTTTAAATTAAAGCTGTCTTAAGCTGATCAGTCATAGCAGTGAAACCACAAACGGGTAAAATGAGTAACGCTGCTTTTGTTGTTCCACCGACACGTTCTGCTGGGAAAACCAGCGTCCTGGTGTTCTCATGGATCTCACTTTGACATTTGCCACCTACCCCAGCAGTTTTTCAGACCGGCCCACTCCCCCACACCCCCCCATATGGCAGCAGCACTACTCTATAGTCCCCCCCTCCCTCCCCCACAATTCTCAGCAGGACAGTCGATACTGCTTATGAAGGGCTCAAAGAGCGTTACAGTGTCTGAGGTGTTCACTATCACTCTGACCTGCATGAGTCCAAATCTCATGGGATGTGTGGGGGGCAGCCCCCCATCCACAGTGACCTCATCCCCCCCATCCAACCAGGCCCAGAGGACCCGCTGGCTCATCCCCTGACCGCCTCATTATTAGGAAGGTGGTCAAAAGGGAACGGCCTATTAGTCTGCAGCCCAACTTTATTAGTGCTGTCCGAACTGAGGTGCACTTTACTGGAACAGCCACTAAGTCTTGAGTTTTCCTCCAACAGACAATGAGCGACTTCGACTACCTGAAGCTGCTGGGAAAGGGAACCTTCGGGAAAGTGATTCTTGTGCGGGAAAAGGCCAGCGGGAAGTACTACGCCATGAAGATCCTTAAAAAAGAAGTCATCATAGCCAAGGTTCCCCTGACATAAAACATCCGCCAATGTGTTGTTAAACGTGAATTATGAAAGAGGAAGCTAAGTCGTAGTGAAATGAATCCTGCTCTCTTTATCCGTTTGAGTGTCAAGTATCTGTAGATATTGTGTTTTGATACATTTCTGCTGCCTTTTGTTTCTGGGTTTGGTTATGTATGAGATGTTTTTTTTACGTCTTGTCTCTCCAGGATGAAGTCGCTCACACACTCACAGAGAGCAGGGTGCTGAAAAACACCAGACATCCCTTTCTCACTGTAAGTGCCTCACGCACAAGATTCAGAAAACGCTGTGACATCTGTAAGGTGACAGCATATTTGTTTTGTGCACAGATCTTAAAGCTAATTATGAGTTTGATGGTAAATTGTTGTATTTTCACCACTGCATCTGTTGGCTTTGATATGCACAGAGTCGCTGGCAGCTTAAGATTTCTATCACCTTGATTTGTAACAGAAAACACGCATTTGTGCATGTTTACACACACTCCGATGTGGGGGGGGGGGGCAAATACAGTTCACGTCTTGAGTTTACCCCTGTCGCACCTGCAGCCACAAAGAGACTTGGACCAACTGTTCTTTTGTTTAGCCGCTTTCTGTCGCAAAAGGAAAAAGCACACATCCTTTCTTTGAGCAAACCAATCCAGACACAAACAGTCTGAAGCTGAAAACGGTCACGTGTTGCTGCGCCTGCTGTTTGAGCTAAAACGGGACCAGACTACCACCTGTGCAGAAAAGCGCCTTCTTGCTTCGTGGGTCTCTTCACGATACCCAGCGAGTGAGTCGGTGGGGTGGGCTGGGGGGGGGGCAGAGATGGATTTAACCGGCAAAACGTAGAAGCGGTGAATAAAGGGCTGCCCCCCCGTGCAACAGGTGATCTCTACCGCTGCTGAATATAAGACGACAGGCCGGGCCGCTCAGTGGGAACGACTCTCTACGAACACTCTTAAGATGGCAGATTTTGGGAATTGAAGCGGCTCCGTCATTTGTATGTGTGTGGCTCTCGTTTCAGTCTCTGAAGTATTCCTTCCAAACCAAGGACCGACTCTGTTTTGTCATGGAGTATGTGAATGGAGGAGAGGTAAGAGACTCTCTGACACAAACACACAAACACACACACACGCACACACAGACACAGTGGGGGTGCTGTATGTGGCTGTTCACCGCTGTGGGACTGCTCGGAACAGCCAGGTAAACCACCGCTCCACCACAGTAACTGACAGCAGTGAGCGCTCCACGTTTTTTGACATCAACTCACTCCACACCGTCTCGAAACTGGTTATGGCCACACATTTACAGCTGGCCCGCAGGCCGATTCTCCAACAGCCTCGCGTTGTTCAATAAACACTTCGGCACATATTTCTAGCATGTATTATTTTCAACACAATCCTTCAGTGACTAGCCTGAGTTCATGGATGTTGGTTCGGTGCAGCTGCATCACCCAGGAAGCGAAAGAATCGGCAAGCATTCAAAAAGTGGTGAAAGTTTGACTGTTGGACTGCTTTCTAACAGTTAATTTGCCGACCAACTGGCCCATCTCTTGCCTCCTCGTCTCTCTTCCCCGTTCCATCCCTGTCCTGCTCGTCTCTATTTATGAACCCACCTTTGGGGCAGATACAGCCAGAATGACAGTCAGAGACAAAATGAATTTGGATTCCCCCACTTTTCCATTTCTCAGGCTTTTAATCGGGCCGTTTTTGCAATCTTGGTTCATTCCCTTAGTTTAACTGTCACCTGCTCCCCTCCCAGATAGTTAGGCAGTACAGCCAGAACCAGGCCGGAGCAAACGCACACACACACACACACACACACACACACACACACACACACACACTGACACTCTTGGACAAACACACATGGCACATTTTTACCTCGACGGACAAATTGTGACCACACATGCCACACAAACACACACACATGCACAACCCATTACAAACCTGCCACAGCCACAGCTGCCAGCACACTGATGAAGGCCCACCTGTCGTGTTAGCACACACGCCCACACACACACGCTAATACACACACACACACACACACACGGACACTATTTGAGCAAGGTGGTCTGTGAGCATCACTCCAGTGGCCATATGCAAACCTCCCCGAACAATTAATGGGGAGATGTGTGCCCCTTGGCCTCGTGGGTAATTTGTACAACTGGACTGGAGCAGCGCAGCAGGCTGCTGTCACTTCGGAGCCACATGTGTAAGTGTGACACCGCCACCAGTTGACAGCTGTCATTGAGGGAGGAGGCAAGAGGCAGAGGAAGGGCGTGTGAGGCGGGTCATTAAAGGGCAAGACAAGGGCAGGGGGGGGGGGCAGCTGAAAAGCATTGTGTACTCTTTAAAATGATCAAATGAGCCTCCTACAGTAAACAGAGAGGAAGTTATAAATAATGAATATGGAGGCTGAGGATTAAGGCCAGTCAGTTGGTGGAGCGGGGTGGTGGTGATGACGGTGTTTGCTCCAGCGGTCGGCCTGTCTTTAACTAGACCGGTGTACCGATTAAACCCCCCCCCCCCCCCCCGACTTGGCCCCATCGCTGAGCTCCTGGCCAGCGTCGTGCCAACGCCGCCTAGAGGGTAACATGGAAGAAGTCGGTGTGGTGACGGAGGAGGTGGGGGGGGGGCTGCTAGATGAGGCGCCAGCTGCTGCCAGGCCGCTCCACCCGCCCTCCTCCGAGACGCTGCACCCCCTTCGCGCAACCCCTCTCAACACACACACCCCCCCCGCTCCCCCCCTCTGCTATCTATCATCTCAATATGGTGCGAGCAGCCAGTTTGTGTTGTGCTAATTTCCTCCAATAAATCAGTAATTATTGCTGTGCCGTCCCTGCTGTCCCCTCCCCCCCCCACCCCTTTTCCCCCCATCCTCTCTTGCTCACTCTCTCACTCACCCCTCTTTCCCTCCCTTCTTTTTCCTGCAGCTGTTTTTCCATTTGTCCAGAGAGCGGGTGTTCTCAGAGGAGCGCACGCGCTTCTACGGCGCCGAGATCGTTTCAGCCCTCAACTACCTGCATTCAGCCAAGATTGTGTACCGGGACCTCAAGGTAAACAGAACCAGGGAAGCAAGGCAGGCTTGGTTGGGGGTGGGGGGGGGGGGCATGGGTGAGGGTGATGGGGAAAAAAACAACTTCTGTTTTGGCCTCCCCTCTTCAGCCGTGGGTTTTTACAGATTTGCTTCCCCACCCTGCTTATGAGGAGCGGCTCCGGATTCGCCGTAATTAAAAACGAGGGGACGAGCAAGGCTCACTCAGACATGAAGCGGTAAAGAAATGCAGGAGGTGCAGGGAGGTTGGGACAGAGGGAAGGAGGGAGGTGCTGATGCCACAGAGGTAGAGTGGTGGATGGCTCTGTCTGCCTGCCTGTGGCAGCCTTGGCCCCATCCCTGCTCACAGCAGCCAAGAAAACAGGAGACAAAAAGCAGACGTGTCGCCCCAAAAACACTCGAGCCATTAAAATTAAAAGGTCGAGCGGCTCATCTATATGCCTGAAGTTTATTTCCCTCCTCAGCTGAAAGTTTGTGTGTCTGGGGGTGTGCACGGCCCACAATATGGCCGTTAATCTGCTCGCCTCCTCGGAGGAACACCTCCAGTCCACAGTCCACAGAAGCATCAAGAGCTAACAAAGCTTTTACCGTATGCATGGAGATGAGTGTCGGGCCTGGTAATGACACTGAGACGAGTCTTTTTTTTTTGTTCGTCTTTCCAGTTGGAAAACCTGATGCTGGATAAAGACGGCCATATCAAGATCACAGACTTTGGACTCTGCAAAGAGGGCATCACGGACGCTGCTACCATGAAGACCTTCTGCGGCACGCCAGAGTACCTCGCACCCGAGGTATTACCCCCAGTTCTCTTTCGGTCGTCTCACATCTCCTTCCCTTATTGGTTCCTTGCCGTCTTTATCTTTTAAGGTCACTGCTTTATTTGTTTTCCCTCCTGTCCTCTGACTCGGTTGACCTGTTCCCTGTCCTCTCCGCGTGCAGCCCCACACGTGAAGGTTGAAACCTAACTTTTCATCAACAGTGTTCTCAGAGGGAAGCGCATTCCTCTGAGCCAATTCACACAACGTTTGCACCAATTATTTAGAAGTGGGATTTTTACAGGAAGGTAGATCTGTGCAGGTACGGGATAACTGCATCCCGTTGGCTCAGCCAAGTGTCACAGATATGTGTATGATAGCAGATCTTGTCATCTAATTTCTGGCATCTGACATAGTGCCTAACAGCTAAACGTTACGTTGCTCGGCTTGAAACCAAAGTTTTGAAGTGTGCTTTTTTTCCCCCCACCCCTGGGCGCTCCGGGGGACTTTGAGACTGGGAAATGTGGTTAATGATTGCGAGAGTGCCATCTAAACAAGTCAGAAGCACACAGTTTTAAACGCCTCCCCGGTGCTCCTTTGAGTGTCCGATGTTGCCAGATGGTGACGAGTTCAACGATCGTCTGTACAGAACAAAGTCCATTTGTGGAGATTGCTTTAATTAAGCGGTGAACGCCATCGGTGTCAGGGACCGAGTGCCACGTTCTGTAAGCCGAGCAGGTCGACTAACGCCTCGTAGCGTCTGCAGCATCCACAGGGAGCGCATCCGCCAGCCGGCGTCCCGGCGCGCCCGGGGTTCCAGCAGGTTCCACCGGGTCTGGGCCCCGGCTGGACACTTTGACTCCCGGGGCTCTCACCGATTGCTGTTATTCTTCAATAACTGACCACACACACGCACACAGACGACGCACACACACGACGCACACACACGCAGGACCTTTGAAACCCAACCTGATGGTCATGACAAAGAGTGTTCTGTTCAGTTTTTTAAATAGTGAAATTTATGCATCTTCCTCCCCCCCCCAC